GACAAGAATGGATACAGAAAATGATCCATGGGTTTCCCTGCTTTTTTTGTGCAGTGCTTTTACCATTATGATGACAAATCAGATTTTCATTTTGCTGCACATAAAATGCAAGAAGACATGCAAAAATAAAGGGGACAAAAGGGAGAGGAATGATTGAGAATATTTGCAATTATTCAAAACCCACGGTGAGAAGTTTGCGTTGTTAAGATATGAGGGATGGTGAGATGACATGCATCAGGCAGCACCTTAGTGATTTAGTTCCTCTGGAGTCTACAACAGGCCTGATGAAGAACTGGCAAAACAGCTCAGCATCTTTTGGAATATGTCCTGAAAACAAGTGGCTGTCCTTACTATAAGACTATTTACTTACTATACGAGAGGCATCACACCTCTGAAGAAAATGATTATTCAGTTTATCCAACTTTTCCAGAGTGTTCCAACAGGACAGTTACTCAAGACTCCAAAGACATGCTGGATTCACTCTACCCAACTGTTGCCTTTAACTATGGCACCAATAACTGCTCCAAAATTTATATCCAGGATAGTAAAGAGGTTTTACTCAAAGTATTACACCAGCCACACTAACCTAAGTAGAAGAAAACTAGATAAGGCTTTCCTGGTTGATTCTTAAGACCCTCAGGAACTACTTTGAATGGTATCCGAGCTGAGTATTACACCAGCCACACTAACCTAAGTAGAAGAAAACTAGATAAGGCTTTCCTGGTTGATGCTTAAGACCCTCAGGAACTACTTTGAATGGTATCCGAGCTGGAGTGCAGAAACACTTGTATCACAATTCGTTCAACTATTTTTCTATTGTCGATTTCATTTTTTCTTCTAAAAATGGTGTTGCAGTAGATAATAGTATAAGATAATATCCTCATGAAAGTTTTTTTAATCTATAGGATAGTCACGAACTGGGGCCACCGGGACAAAGGGCATTGAAAATGATGCATATTGTAGATTGTAATAAATATGGCCAGATTACTTGACAAAAGATTTTAGCAACTCACCCTCCCGGTAACCATTCATGAGTGCAAGCTTCCAGCATCTTTGCCAATAGTTGGTCTTTTTAGTTTTTGCCAATCTGATGGGTGGAAAAAATGGCAGGTTTTTTTTTTTTTTTTAATTCACATTTTTCAATTAGTGAGGTTGTGCATCATGTTTACTCATGAACTGCCTATTCATAGCTGTTGGCCAATTTTACTGGAATTACATTTTTTCTTCTAGGAGCAGGCCGAATGGAAGTATTAGTGTATCTACGCTGTGAATCTGTTTTTCTAGGCTGTCATTTGACTTTAGGCATCTTTTGCATTAAAAAAGTATAAATTTGTATACAGTCCCTTTTTTTTTTCTTTTTTAAATGATTTTGGGGTTTCAAATCTTAAGAAAGTACCTTCTACTGGACTATGAAATATTATCCTAAAATTTATTTTATCTTCAATTTTATTCTTCTTTTGAGATTATCTACTGACATTTATTTTTGCATAGAGCATGAGGTAGGGGTCAAGATAATTCGATAATTCAGTAGTCAGGCATACAAAGAATTAGAACAAAAACCACGAATGAAAAGCGGCGAATGCCCCGTCCTACTGCAGGTATTTATACACGCAAGATCAAGATCGGCTCGTGGAAGCATTTCTGGTACAGGCTGAAAACGTCCCGCTGTCAGGGACTTGTGACGCAGCAAGCCTAGCATTTTATGTTTCCGCTCCCTAGCGTCCTCGGGATGATGAGATGGTTTCCTATCTAGGAACGTTAGGTATGGTTTCTCTCTAAGCTTCCAGCCCTGGAACATCGGCTCGCTGAGAAAGCATCGTCCCGAGACCACAGAAAACATTCCAAACTGCAACAAACAAAAAACTTCTAAAAGGAGAACCAAGAGCACAACTGCAAAGGGTAGCAAGAGCGACGACACTGCGCATGTGCGGTCTCCGCGAATTGAAAATCTTCCGAGGTGCTCTTTAGCAAGTTCTGCCTTGCAGCAGGAGGCGCATGCGCAGCCTCCGTTCCTGTGCGTCGTTCGCGTCTCTAGGACTGCGGGGCGCAGGGGCAGCTGGGAAGATGGCGGG